GAGCTAACATGTTACTTTTACATTACTTTTTGTATTAGTAGTATTGATCACATGCTTGCATTCAAATTGATTTCTGTTATGAGTATTTTTAATGTGGGGGTTAAAAGACAAAATGCAAACAATTTGCTCAAAGCTAAATGTTTGCTGATAAATCGGTCAGAGTTTTAGACGTTTTGAAAAGGTCCGAACCTGTCTGTCCAGAGATTCTGATCAGAGGAACCAGCAGACCTTGTCTCAGCGGTCAGCAGGTCAGTTCTGAATGAGGAGAAACATTTAGAGAAAAGCTTTTGTCACATTTTCTCCAAATAAACTAAATGACTGACTGACTGACTGATTGACTAAATAAAGGAGGATTTAGTGCAGAATAGTCTCTCAGAGCTAACAGAGTTTTGATTCTTTCAGCTGACAAACATTAAWATCTAAATATTGTTGGAGGTTTTTGGTTGAAAATGACAGAAAAGTTTCTCCTTAGATGGATCTGTAGTCTGGATTCAGACACGTTACTGTGGTGCAGTGGTACAATGTGGTCCTGKGACCAGAAGGTCACAGGTTTGATCTGAAAATGTTCTCAGATCAATCAGACCTAACTGGACTTAACTGGACCTAATCAGAACCTGGGTTTGATGTGACAAGTCAGAAACATTTTCAGAGTAATGGAAACATTTAAAATTCCAGAAGTTTTTGGGAGACAGCCGATGGCTGATCCTGTCAGACCTTGTCATCCATCAGAATTCCATCAGACTTGTTCTAGAACTTGTTCTGGACCATCTGACCCGTATAAATAACTGAGGTACAGCAGACGCTCTGAGCAGTCTGAAGCACTGACTTCTTCTCGCTGTGAGAATCCAGCTGCTCCTCTTAAGACTCTGGCTCTGACTACACGTAAGAAACCTTTTTAACACTACCGCTCATCTTAGAACCACCTTCTGATTCTGGTTCTCGTTGTGCTTTGTAAGAAATTTGACTCACGTTGGTTCTGCTCTGCACAACCTAAACACAGAAGGCTGATGATGGTTTGATGTTGGTTGGTTAATGGTTGGATGATGGTTGAAAGTTTGGTTGGATGATGTTTGGATGATGGTTGGATGTTGGTTGGATGTTGATTGGACAATGGTTGGATGATGGTTGAATGTTTGGTTGGATRATGGTTGGATGTTGGTTGGATGACAGTTTGATGCTGGTTGGATGACAATTAGATGATGGTTGGATGACAGTTGGATGTAAATGTTGGWTGGATGATGGTTAGATGTTGGTTGAATGTTTGGTAGGATGTTGGTTAGATGAYGGTTGGATTTTGGTTGGATGATTGTTGAATGATGGTTGGATGGTGGTGGGATGATGGTTGGATGACAGTTGGATGATGATTAAATGTTGGTTGGATGATTGTTGAATGATGGTTGGATGGTGGTTGGATGTTGGTTGGATGACAATTGGATGATGATGAAATGTTGGTTGGATGATGGTTGGATGTTGGTATGATGTTGGTTGGATGTTGGTTGGATGATGGTTGGACGATGGATGGATGATTGTTGGATGTTGGATGTTGGTTGATAATGGTTGGATGTTGGTTGGATGATTGTTGGATGTTGGTTGGATGATTGTTGGATGTTGGTTGGATGATGGTTGGATGTTGGTTGGATGTTGGTTGGATGATGGTTGGATGATAGTTGGATGATTGTTGGATGTTGGTTGATAATGGTTGGATGTTGGTTGGATGATTGTTGGATGTTGGTTGGATGATGGTTGGATGTTGGTTGGATGATGGCTGGATGGTGGTTGGATGGTGGTTGGTTGATGGTTAGATGGTGGTTGCATGTCCAGACTCCAGGTAAGCTCCTCCTCTCTGGTCCTCAGGTGGGCTTCAGGCAAGGGGGCGTGGACATCTTTGGCAGAAGGACCCAGTTGGAGGTTGTGCTCTCAGTCATGCTGCTGGTCTTCCTGCAGTCTCTTCTGGCCTGCCTGGTGGTTCTGGGACATGGATTCAGCTCAGGTACCCATAGAGCTCCTGTCCTCCTGTCCTAGTTTGTCTCCTCTTCTCTTGTGTCCTATTGTTTTTATTTGTCTCCTCCTGTATCTCTGGTTTCAGTTCCTTTTCTTTCTCATGTTTTCTGTTTAGACCAACCTTTAACGGTCACAACCTGTCCTCCATGTTGTCCTGCAGACAGTGGGCATGGCCTGTGCCTGTCTCCGACGTGCATCAAGGTGGCGAGTCAGATTATGGAGGCGATGGATCGCAGTGCAGACCCTTGCCAGGACTTCTACCAGTTCTCCTGTGGGGGCTGGATCAGGAAGAACCCTCTGCCTGAGGGACGCGCTCGCTGGTCCACCTTCAACAACGTCTGGGAGCAGAACCAGGCACTGCTCAAACAACTGCTGGGTACGACAGGAGGGACGGACCGGACCGGACCGGACCCGTCCAGCTCTCATGGTTTTTCTTCTCCTCCTCAGAGAACAAGAAATTTAACAGCAGCAGCGAGGCAGAGAGRAAGACTCAGTCCTACTACCTGTCCTGTCTCAACACGCAGAGGATCGAGGATCTGGGAGCTCAGCCGCTCGTGGACCTCATTGCCAAGGTAACCGCCCACACTTCCTGTCTCCACGGTAACTGCATCCCTTCATCCCTGTCCTCCGATGCTTCAGAGTATTTCCTGTAATTCAATAAACAAACAGAAAAACAATCCAGGGAAGAACGATGAAGGACCAGGTCCAGCCTCTGATCCAGAGCCTGCTGGTCCAACAGAAGAGATCTCAGTCTGCTAACCC